TTCCTTTTCTTCTTCTTCCTTCTTCCCTCCTCCTCCTCCTTCTTCTCTCTCTCGCCTCCCACCTTCCTTCCCTCCTTATCTCTCTCTCCCTCCCTCCCTCCTTTACTCTCTCTCTCTCTCCATGCTTATTTCTTAATGTTGATGTGCATCATAGAGAGTTAGAATTGACTCAAAGCTGACCTTCCAGCATATTTTCATAGGCTGTAAATTGCACAGGAGGAAATTTTTCTCCTATGGAGTGGCTGGTGGATTCAAATTGCCTGCTTTTGGGTTGGCAATGCAAGTCCTCACCTCTAGGCCACCAGTGAAACTTTTCTATTTCTTCATATTATATATTAAAAACATGTATCATAGGATATAAAAGAATGTATCATAGGATAGATATACGGGGTGGTGCAAATAGTTAAATGCACGATTACTAATCAGAGAGTAGTGTCCTGGGTGATCATGAACATCAAGAGCTCTATGGAGCAATGTCCTATTCTGAAACATGTGGAGATGCCATTATCAGAATGGACTCAATGGCATTGGTTCTATTTCTTCTTCTTATTCTTGTGTACTGTAGAGTTGGAACCAACCTATAGCTGACCCTCAGTCAGGTTTACAGAGGCAGTTAATGACACAGAAGGAGATTGCCTGTCCTTCACCCATAGAGCAGCTGGTGGTCTCGAACTGCATACCTTCAGGATTGCAGCACATCTTCTTGCCACTAGGCCACCAGAGGTCCCTAGATATTTCTTAGTAGTATTTAGATAGTATAATGCTGCTTAGCAGATCAGTTATAAGTGGATAACTTTGACTTATATTTAAAACTGAGGAAGTCTACTTCTGAAGCTTAAATTCTGTTGTCATTTTGCACTAGCGATAATATGAAAATTTCCTTTAGGTTGTCTTGCTAATGCCCAATCTTATGTAGTCATTGCACAGATTGTCAGAAAATCAGTAAAAATTATTTGAGTACATAAATATTGACAAAAGGACAAATCATTGTATTAATAGCCCTAAGTGGAACAATTGATAATTTACTGGGAACATTTAAGTGCAGTTAGTACAATGAGAGAATTCTTTTCTTTTTCATTGTGCTTTCATTGGGGATCTACTATTTAGACATTCTATTCCTTGTTTTTTGGTGTCTTTGTACCAACTGTGATGCGTAGCATGTGATGAGCTACAGATCTGAACCTTGCCCTAGCCTGCTCCATGCTCCTTATTGCTGATAATCTTCAGCCTGCTGGTCTAGTTACTGTGTCAATCCATCTTGTTGGGGATCTTCTTCTCTTTCTGCCTCCACCCTTCCAAGCATGATGCATTTTTCTACGTAGTTTGGTGAAATGTGATTTCCACACTTATTAAAACAAAAAAGTAAGGTAGCATGTGCTAGGCATGTGTGGGTTAACCATGTAAATAGGCTTAATCGAATTTATTCTTATATCAACTCTAGAAGGTAAGTATTTCTGTTGTCTTCCAGACAGGTGAGTAACTAGCTCAGAGCCACAGAGCTCATGGGTGGCAGAGTTAGGACACCCAGGTGCTTGGACTCATGTGTCCTGTGGTTAGGAAACAAAGGTGTAACTAGCTCACCCTCGCTTGTCCCAGGTAGTCTTCATCCAGCAGGTGGAGAGGGGCTTGGGGTACGATTCCACGGAGCAGCCTCGATGCATGGAAGTATCTCTGAAAGCTTAACAGTCTCTTCACCTTTTTCTTGGTGCCAATTTCCCCTGAGTATGTTGTATCTGTGGAGAACAATCAAGTATAGAAGTTTATTGATTAAAAAAAACCTTTGTTTTTCTTCTTTTTTTTAATAAAAATACAACATGCCAAATAGGATAGAAACATTAAAGCTGTTCTCTATGTCTTCTTAAATAGCTTATTTAACTATACATTTGAACTTCTAGAAAAAGGATATTTATTATGGTTTATGTTTATTAAAGCTATTTTAAGAAATAAACATGATTTTTAAATAGAATTTTAGAAGACATGAATATCTGACTTTAAAGCTTTATTTTTTTAATCAATGATGTTGGTATCACAATAAGTAGATTTCTTATACTTCTGTATCCATCTGAAAATAAAAATTATATTTCTTCTGCTGTATTGGACTGAAGGCTCAGTTCTTTAGTTCAGACTCTCATTCTGCACTTCTCGTGTTTGATCACATCCCTCACATGAATTAGAAAAACAATGAATACAAAATCTTAAGCATGAGGAAAACTGTTTCCCAATGTTCTAGGAAAATCAATGGCAAAGAAATCAATCATTTTGGCCCCAACATGACCTAGATTTCCCTGATAAGAAGCAGAGAGAATTTTTAATTTTTAAATGGTGTTTATTCTTTTTGCTGGTGGCCATAAATATCTGATCTTGTCAGGGATATTTTAATGCTCATGTCACATGTGTCTTTCCAAACTTGAGTGTTGACATCATGGCTGTTTTCCAGATATGCTCCAAGAACATCATTCAAGTGTTTGCCAAGGTATGTTTTATCTTAGACTGAAATTCTACGAGTCACTCTAGGGTCATGTAAGTGACGTTAGCTGCCAATTTTGGATCTGGAGTCAATTTAACTGTCTAGTAGGAAAATAAGCAGCTCATACTTAAAGCAGGTTTGGTTTATTTCATGGCTCTTTCCAGCTCCCCTTTTCTTCTCTGGGACTGACAGTCACAATGGATGTTAGAAGCAAAGCAGACAATGGGCAGAGCTTCCTTAAGAAGCTGTGCTCCACAGGGCATGATACAAATCAGTTCCTTACTCAGTTCTTCACTTAGTTCACATCATGCATACAAAGGGCAACCAAAACCCACTGTTCTCTGGAAATTCTGCTTAACTAAAATTATTTCTGTTTTGGATAGCAAACAATAAATATTGGAGAGGATTTGGAGAGATAGGAACTTTCATACACTGTTGGTGGGACTGTAAAACGGTACAACCACCCTGGAAGGCAGTTTGGCATCTCCTCAAAAAGCTGAACATAGAAATTTCATATCACCCAGCTATTCCACTGTTTGGAATATACCCTGAGAAAATTAGAACTGAGGCACAAAGGGAGATTTGTACACCAATGTTCATAGCAGAATTATTCACCATTGCAAGAACATGGAAACAGTCCAAATGTCCAACCACAATTGAATGGATTGAGAAATTGTAGCACATTCACATGATGGAAGACTACACAGCACAGAGGAGCAAAGATATTTAAAAAAAATAATGCATAACTTGGCAAACACTGGAGAGTATTATGTTAAGTGAACTAACCCAGTCTCATACAGACAAATACTTCATAAGATCATTATTGTAAAAATAGAAATGCAACTAACGTGTATGGCAATCCAAGGGGGAAGAGGGTGGGAGCAGAGGGGTGAGGATGTGCAGGGAGAAAATCATAGGGTCACACAATTTTGTGGGTGGAGGGGGTAAAGGAAATAGGAAAGATCCAGTGGGGATCTGAAAACGCAGGGTAATGGTGGGCATAGTTCAATGGTGATTAATTTTATAAAAATAATGAATGGGAATGATTATATTAAACACAATGTGACTAAAGGATAGTGTGAAGCACAAGGTATTTGAACTTTGTAAGCAAACCAATTAAAATAAAAATTTTAAAAAACTGCATTTGCTATGAATAAATCATTAAATGTAAAAAATGTCAAAAATACCCTCAAGTCAAAGTCAACTCATTGCTGACCCTCCTGCAGGTTTTCTGAAGATACGAGTAAGCCACACAGAAGATTGTCCAATGGAGAAGTTGGTGAATTCAAACCCAGTGACTTTGGGATGGTGGTGCAACTTCTTACTACTAAACCATGAACATTGATTAGGCATTGGGATTAGTTAATCACATTAACCAATGACAATTGATATCATGAAGGAGCTAATGAAATGATAATACTGTAAAAATGTATGTTGTTGTTGTTGTTGTTATGTGCCGTTGAGTCGTTTCCGACTCATAGCGACCCTATGCACAACAGCCCTAAACCCTGCTCTATCCTGCGCCAACTGCACCGCCTCTGACAGACCCATCCCGATTACCCCAGTCACCGAATCAATCCATCTCATAGAGGGTCTTCCCCTCCTGCACTGTCCCTCCACCCTCCCAAGCATGATGTCCCTCTCCTAGGACCCGTCCCTCCTGGCAACATGTCCAAAGTATGTCAGACGAAGCCCCAGAATCTTTGCCTCCAAGGAGTAGCTTGGTTTAATCCTCTCCAAGATGAATCTGTTTGTTTTCCTGGCAGTCCATGGTACATTCAGTACCCTTCTCGAGCACCACAACTCAAAAGCATCCACTCTCCTTCTGTCCTCCCTAGTCATTGTCCAACTCTCTGATGCATAACAAGCGATTGCAAATACCATGGCCTGTATCAGGTGCACCTTAGTCTCCAGAGAGACACTGTTGCTCCTGAGTACCTTTGAGAAGTCCCTAACAGCAGACTTTCCCATCGCGATATGCTTTTTGATTTCCTGACTGCTGGTGCCAACAGTGTTGACTGTGGAGCCGAGCAAACTGAAGCTGTGAACAATCTCAATCTCTTCGTCATCCATCCTGACGCTGCCAATTGGTCCAGTGGTGAGAATCTTTGTCTTCTTGACATTGAGCCTCAGTCCATACTGAAGGCTGCAGTCCTTGACCCTTCGCAGCAAGCGCATGAGGCCCTCCTCAGTTTCAGCAAGCAAGGTTGTGTCATCTGCATAACGCAGATTGTTAATAGATCTTCCACCAATCCTGATGCCACAATTCTCCTCATAGAGCCCAGCCTCTCGGATAATCTGCTCTGCATACATGTTGAAAAGGTATGGAGACAGGATGCATCCCTGGCATACACCCTTCCCAATTTTGAACCATGCAGTGTTACCCTGCTCTGTTCTGACTACTGCCTCTTGGTCCAAGTATAGGTTTCGTGTTAGCACAATGAAATGTTCTGGGATTCCCATTCTTCTCAGAGTCAGCCACAGTTTGTTATGATCCACATAGTCAAATGCCTTTGCATGATCAATGAAACACAGATAGACATTCTTCTGGTATTCTCTGCTTTCAGCCAAGATCCATCTAACATCAGCAACAATATCCCTAGTACCACGACCCCTTCTAAACCCAGCCTGGACTTCTGGCAGTTCTCTGCTGATGTGTTGTTCTAATCGTTTTTGGATGATCTTCAGTAGAATCTTGCTTGCATGTGAAATCAATAGGAAAGAAAAAAACAGTGTAATTTGTAAACTCACAATCAAATAAATAAATAAAGGGGGAGACGAAGATTGTATGAATCACAACAAAATGAGAAATGCTACGAAGCAAATATGTTCTATCATGTAAGATTTCTATGAGTCAGGATTACCTCAACATCACCCAACGATTGCACAAGTAGAACTCCAGGGTTTCTCCTCTGGAGGTGCTGAACGGGTTCAAACCACCAACCTTTCAGTTAGAGGTAAGCACTTTCTTATGCTATCCCACTCTTAGTTTTTAAGTGCTGGATTTCTATTCGGCATCTTTAACAGAACATCTAATAGATGTTCAAATATAGTATGTAAGACATTAAAATTCACCTCAGATTTGCTTCAGCCCTGGCCCTCTCTCTCTCAGGTGATGGAAGCTCCATTTTTTCAGATTTTTGGCCAAATATTTGATGGAATTCTATTGGACCCTCGATGAGATGGATTGATTCAGTGACTGGAATAATGGAACTAGGTGTGTCAGAGACATTAAGATTGGCACAGGATAGAGCAGGGATTAGGGCTGTTGTACATAGGGTTGCTATGAGTCTCAGGTAACTTGATGGCACATAACAACATCGATAATTTGATGGAATCCAAATTACATGGAGAGTTCCACCATTTTTACTCCTTCCCCTGGTTCCCCTGTATTATTTTTTTTAAAAAATTTATTATTATTATTAATTTCAAGGAACATCTACAGAGATTTTGGAATTCCATTATTCACTGTTGCACTTTTCTTCCCCCACCCCCACCCCAGTTCGCTCCTCTCCTTGAAAAGCAAAAGAAAAACTACTTCATTGGTACACAATACCCCCCTCTACCCCGCACACCCCCATCCCCACCCAAAGTGTACTCCACTCTGCAATACTCATTCCGGACTCCTATGATAATCACAATGCCCTAAAATATATTAATTTTAAACTGTTGTCTCCCTTATCGGCTTCAATGCAGTAAACATAATTTATCCAGTTTTTCTCAGTCTTACCTCCACCCCAATGTCAGCCTCATTCTACAACAGTGGCACCATATAATATTTGTCCTTTTGTGACTGAGATATTTCTCTCAGCACCACAACAAGATAAAGGTAAATAATCCAATAGGAAAATGGGTACAGGATATGAACAGACACTTCACCAAAGAAGACATTCAGATGGCTAACAAGCACATGAAGAAATGTTCAAAATCCCTAGCCATGAGAGAGATGCAAATCAAGACAACTATGAGATATCATCTCTCCAGTAAGAATAGCAAAATTTAACAGAACAGCTAGCAACAAATGCTTGCGAGGTTGTGGAGAGACTGGAACCCTTATTCACTGTTGGTGGGAGTGTAAAATGGGGCAACCACTGTGGAAAGTAGTGTGGCACTTTCTCAGAAAGTTGCAAATAGAGATACCATTTGACCCAGAAATTCCACTACTGGGAATATACCCTAAAGAGACCATAAACAACATGCAAGCAGATATATGCACACCCATGTTTGTCGCGGCTTTGTTCACAATAGCAAGGAGTTAGAAACAAC